CCCCAAAACCCCAAAACCCCAAAACCCCAAAACCCCAAAACCCCAAAAAAAATTATGTAATTGACAAAAATATTATTAATAATACACAAAAAGTGCTTTCTAAACCTTAATCTTCATCTTTTTACCTCCTTCAGAAGATAAGATGGTCGCAATATTGCTGTATGAGAGTTGGCCCTCCAGATGCCTATAAACGATGATTTAAAGGAGTTCAGAGGAGTCCTGACAAAGCGCATAACTCGTCTAAAATTGCTAAAAGGCTCTATAGATCACTTATAGATTCTATTTAATGCTTTCAAGTTTAAACCCTAGTTCTGAACTTTCAGGAGCATAAGCTTTTCTCTCGAAATGACTTACCTAAAGTTGCGAGGATGACTGTCTACGTTAGTTTTACTTCCAACGCTGTATTTGGCAAATATAGAATCATTTTTGATATTCTCCATGTCCTTACTCCTGTTTCTTTTGTTCTTAATCCAGTTTATCAACTTATATCGATCCTTCTTTGGGTCATAGCGTGAAGAATGACTCAGGTTATCAGAGTTCGAGAACATAGTAGCAGGGTCTCTATGGCTCATAGAGTGATTTTTGTAGCGATAACTAGGCGTGTTCTGGTTATAAATCAAGCTAGATACCTTATTCTTTCTTTGCTTGTGGGGTATCGTCTTTATCTTACCCTGCAAACTCAGGACATTATCATCAGTGCTTAAACTTTCAAGTCTTTTTAAAGGATTATATTTACATTTATAAGCCCTTTTCCGTTCTATTTTATACTTCCGATTCTTAAAGAGCTGAAGAGAAGGTAGGTCATAGTTCTTCTCAAAAATATCCAGGATAGACTTCTTCTTCTCTTTGTTCCACTCCTCATTGATGGTCTCCAGGATTCCTATACCAAGTTGGGATTTCAAACGAAATGTTGATGGAATTTACAATAATATGAAAAGTTCCTAATCAGCACTTTTGGAATGGCCAAAGAGCTTTCAAGGCATTTATAGTCAATTTGTCAAGTTTTAGACAGACTAGAAGCTATTGAGTTAAGAATGTCCTAAATGAAAGTAGTCTCCTGCTAATTTAAAATTTAAACATCAACTTTTTATACAGAAGAACTAAATGAGATAACATTTCGTTAAAATAAGTGATATATAACCTGGAAGCACAAGGTGGATTAAGTTATACCTGTTGATCTTGGAACAATGCTGCTCTGGGTTTCATCGGTATAAGAGTAAGAACTCTTCTCCCTAATCTGGTCATTATAAGACTTTCTGACCTGAGTGTTATTGCGCTTGCGTTTCATCAACAATCCTTTATCTGATCTCCCCTTTGAAATTACAGGAAGTCGGACGTATTCAGTGGGCTCTTCAATACTATCCTTAAAATTTCTCTTTCGATCTATTGACTTCTTCGGTTTAGTAGTTTTTGGGTTGACTTTAAAAACCCTGTCATCGGTGATGACAAGATCAACTTTATTATTCCTGGAAGACTTCTCTGGCTTGTGCTTTGGACTGAGAGCGGCTGGCGGTGACTCGTAGCTTCTGGTCGAAGGGTCCATGCTTATGGATAGAATAAAAAGTGAAACAATTATATAAACTTCTTAAGGGGTTTTGGGGTTTTGGGGTTTTGGGGTTTTGGGG